CTTAAGAATCCCATAGAACTCCTGTGGGAGTCTTGAGGAATCCCTCTTGAATCCCTTAAAAATCCTCCATGACTCCACAGAGGATCCTGCCGGGATCCCGTGACAGGACTCCTGCTGACTCCTGTAGAACTTTTTTCCAGGACTCCTGCGGGAGATTAATCAGGAGTCTCGACTAGGGATGTAAGTCAATATCATTCAAAATAATCTTTATTACACTATACGTGTTTTTGTTTGTAGGATGTCATTGATCGTTTAAAATATTTACAAGATATCTCAGTAATTAATGGACTCTTTGACGATAGGGAAAAATATATTTAGTTGACTCGTGAAGAAATGAATAATGTAACACGTGCTATAAGACAACAGGGAAGAATATCATTTAGCGATTTATCAAAAATCAGTAATGAATTAATTAATTTTGATGGCAAAAGAACTATTGATGACAGTTTACTTCAGAATGATAGTGAATCACAACAAGCTTGAAATTGAGTATTAAAAACATACCGTGCAATTTCTGTGAAACCGAGAATTGTACACTAATGTAGTAGTGATAACCAGTGATATTTGGAGATGTCACTACACTTTCAGAAATACGGTTAGATGACGATCATTGAGAGCTGCTTTACTCCTGCGAAGTAATGTGATGATCTTTTTGTTATAATACCAGTATACGCCGTACCATGGAATATTTGCTTAGGTGTGTAAAGCTAACATAGAATCTGAGCTTCGGCGACGCATACTGCTGCAGTTTATTTGCCCACAAACGGCGAATAAGCGGGAGCTGAACGATAAAGAAAATATTATATGAATAATATATGAAGATTTTAAATACTCATATTGTATAGAAATACTCATATAAAAAAATTACGAATGCTCAACGTTTTTTTATTCGACATACTTTTGTTATGTAATGGGTATAGCTACCGATGATTTAGCAGGCCATTGGCTGAATGTGAATCTGTTGACACACTTGAATCAACATTTGACCTTACTATATTACAGTAGTATGATCAAGGGTCGTACTTCTCATACCCCAACTTATTGTAACTTGTGTACAAAACAATCTGCTCAATGGACGAGGTCTGTCCACTGATCGAAATCTGATAACTTCTCTTTTCGCTAATTCAATTCAATTGCAGTTTGAGTTTGAATGCGAATGATTAGCAGCTACAGCTTGTTCGGGATTAAGATATAATAATTTTTAATATAATAGCCTATGTGTTTTCTTTCAGATTTACATTTTGAAATGCTTTTACATTTGTTGGTTTCGTAAATTGTTTCCAGTAACAATTCATGTCGCTTATATGTAATGATAATGACTAAATTATTACTTACATGATTGTGGTCTGAATTTGATTTTTAATGAGATGAATGAGTGAAGCAGTAAACAACATAATCCTAGTACGTATTCTAGTCTTTTGTTCTTACTGTTAGCTCGTTTTTCTGTTATAAATCAACTATCACAAGACAATATATTTTCCGCACTGGCATAGTAAGAAAATTCTCAAGGGGTAGGCCAGTCAACTAACTTTTGTTTTTAAAGTAAAAATCTTCTATAAAGTGGACCATGAGTTATTCTTGATTCAGTGCTAGATGCGTCGCTGCCTGGACGCGTGTGACTTCTTGGCTCTTGAAAGTCTTGAAGGGAAGTCGAAGTGGATACAACTTTTTACGGAGTACTCCACTCTTGAAGAGTTCCCCACTGATTTTTTGACGACTAGTTCCATACGATCACACTTACTAGATTTTTCTTCCAAAAAAGCAGTGCGTCTGTTAATTAATTTTAAGATAGACAATGATTTTAAATCCAACAAGTTCATTAGTATGTGGATTCAATCTAGTATTATTTTTAACGTAAAACAAGAGAGAATAACAGAAATAAACAAAAAGTTATTTATATTTTACATGTTTGTTCAAAATACAAAAGTTGAAATAAATTGAGTGGTCTTCAGCAGTAAAACTAAGTTTTTCCGTTTAGATGAAGGAAGAATTACCGTCGAGATCTATTTCCATTCCAAACATTATTTATTGTTGGTTTGATGTAACAGGTTCGTAGTATAACAGAATTATAAATCTTATATTACGCTGGACTACTTGTTTTATTAGAGTGTATTGACGATGATCTATGGTATCGAAAATATGTTGAATTAAACACGAAAACAAAAATATTAATATTTCATAGCACAGAATACGTAAGTGGAAAAATTCAATATGTTTATTATTTATAGAAAATGTTCATGTCTTGAAAGCTTTTGTCTACAGCCGATGACTTGTATTTAAGTAAAATTGAGAATCATTAGACTTTTTGCACGAAAAAAACACACAGTGCAGATATTGCTGAAGTACTCATAAGAAAAAGTTTGATTCTTCTCGCTATTTTAACCGAATCTGAGAAAAATATACTAATAATAAAAGTTAAAGTTTTATTTGAAAAAAGAAGAAGGGAAAAGAACATCAACCAAAAGCACAACACAAAAGGTTACATTTTTATTATTTCGTTTTAGATACATTATATATAATATATTTGTTCAACAATCAATCGCATTTTATAGAGTAAATTTCTGAAATAAATCTAAAATTTGAAACATATAATTTCTGTCTTATTGAAAAACTGATTTGTTAAACACTTTAAAAGCCAAATATCATTTTTGTTCAATTTGGTTAAAATAGATTTTCTAAATTGTAACATTCATCTATGATTATGTCTTTTTTTTTATTTCTCGATTTTTTTATAAAGTATAAATATTAGTGTATGCAGTCGGAATTGTCATCTTGTGTTTTGATTCTGGTCGCCTATAAACAAACGTCCTAGTAGTTAGTTATCGTCAATTATCCTAACTAAATAGTTTTCCAAAGATCCTATAGAAAATTAGTTTTTGAAAAAAGATTTCATATATTTTTTTTGTTATGAAAAGATTCTTTAAAGTCTTGACTATAGAATGGCGAAAAAATGGCGAAAACTGCAAATCTCGATCACATATTGCTCTCGAATTTTTCGAAAAGCAGTCATGCGCCTTATAATTTTGAAAAGAATAGTATCTCTGTTGTCTAACTTTAAAGCTAACATTTTTTTGACAATAATAAACAGTGAATTAATGTAGGAGATAAATTATTAAAGATGTCAAATAAAACCGATCTAAAAAAAACAGCTACTTCATCGTCGTTTGTTAGTTATATCTTTGATGATTGGCTTCAATGTTTGAAAAGATTAGATTCAGATGTATTTGTTTACAATGTTGACAGTTCAATTAATCATTAAAAAAATATTTACTCCTGTTATTTTACATTTATTCTGCTCTTATTAGTCGTTTAAGGGAAATCAAAACCTATATTTAGAGAAAGTGCGTAAATAAAAGGAATTTTTAGAACAGAAAACAGTATCGCTGTCATACAAAATGCTTTTTTTTCTCGTTCACTTGGTGTTGATCACTAGTGAAAATATCCTACTATGTTTGACATCAAATATATCGGATGATCGGGTAAAAATGGGTCACTTTTTGTTTTCAATTTTTCTCAACCGCGTTTCATCCGTTTAATTTTATTCAAATACCACAAGATACGTTTTGAAATTCTTTATGAGAATTTTTTATTTTTACTCGCTTCCAGAAAAATAATTATTTGCATCATTGCGTACAAATCGGCATAACTCGTAGAAAATCAAACTTTTTGGATTTGGATTTTTTCTTGTTTTATAGTAAAATAAGATGTCTTTTATAATTCAAATGCAAAAAGTACAACAACTCTCTTTCTTTCGATATGCTGAGTGAATGGATGAAATTTTCCTTGCTATCCAGTGAATTTCAATAAGGTTACCCTTTATATCATAACATAAGGCTTGAATGAAATCCACCATACACAATGAGACAGATCAACATTGACAGCATCAGAAAACTTATTTTACTGTATTTTGGTAACTGTGTAAGCGTTTGAAAAAGCGGTTTTGGATTCGCTAAAAATACTTTAGACAGTTGACTATTTCAAATCTCGTTAGTGTTTTTCATATATCCATCCACTTTCACTTTTATAATAAAACGCTCAATACGATATTTGTAGAAGTATTTCAAGACGCATCTTGTAATATATGAATGAAATCAAACAGATGAAAAACGACTGAGAAAAATTCAAAACAAAAATTGATCGACCCGTTTTCACTGAACCATCCGATACATCGTGAAGTAACTCCGTTGGAGATTGAGTTTTGAAGGATTTGTTAAGCTTCAAGTTATATTGGATGTACTCTCACTAAATCCAAGATCAGTTATAAAATATGAAAAAACTGTAAGCGACGCGTTGATTTGATAAATGAAACAATTCATTTGATTTTGAATACAATTTTTAATTCGATACTCAGCATGTTTTCAAACGATAAGACAAAATTTATAATCGATAGCACGTTTTTATTCTTTAAATGATTAAAAACAAATTTCAAGATTTCGAGGATATATGTAGCAAAGGTTCCATTTCAAGACACCTTGAATGTTTAATAATTATTCAGTTTTATCGTCAGCACTATATATGTCAAAAGAGAGTATATTTATGTTCAGAGGAACAATAATATGTGAAAAGAACAGAAATTAAACTAAGTATAATAGATATACGTCCAGCTATTGTGAGTTCATGAAGATGACAATTAATTTCAACTAAGAGTACTTGAATCGAGATATATTCAGAAGTAATAAATATATGCTAGTTACAGTATATGTATTTTTCTTTTTTATTATTCACGTTATGATCGTATTAAAATGTTGAATAAGGAAAAGAAACTTTCTTTTTTTTTGAAGTTTTTACATATTTTTATTTGTATGTGTGTGTGCCTGTTTGTATTTTTGTTTCAATTATTGAACTACTAGATGTGAATAGTTTAGCATGTTTAAACTGTGTTAAACTACTTAATAGCAGTAGATAGAATAGTTTGGCATTTATTAAAAGTTATTTTATTCATGGGATAATATTTTCATCGATCTGAATGAATATGTTTTCAGTAATGTTTATTTTGTTTTATTCATGAATTTTTTTTTCCATAGCAAGTGGTAACATAGAGTTGTTTACGAAGCTTATGAATATGACAGACATTTCAACAGGCATAAACGATAGAGAGAATTTCAGCATCACATAAACCGGTACAAGAAAGTGCAATTTGGTTCTTTTTATGAAATAATTTTCAAGTTATGTGGCAAGTAGCGTATCCGATCTTGCAAAAGTATTAATATATTCAGTTGAAGAAAAGTTGAGAAACAGCTAAAGAATCACACTCATTTCAGATCTATATCATCTGTTTGTTTTATGTAAAAAACATTAGGGTAAAGATAGTTCGTTTATTTTCGAGTATTTTGTTCGGCCTATGATATGGCACGTTATTCAATCAATTTATGTTAACCACTCTTTTCAATTATAGTGCTTGAGAAAGGACGAAAGAGAAAATGGCGAAATTCCAATATAAGTTTAAAGAAGTTTCAGACAGGTAAGTCGAATAAGACTTTATATGTACAAACTTTTGCAGGCTCTCTGATTAACAAAAAATCATTTGTTTTCGATTAGTGCTTACTAAGCCAAAATTAATTAAACTTAGAAAATCTGCCCTAAAGGATATTTTCCAACTGATCTAGACTAATAAAAATCTTTTTAAAAATATGGCTTTTAGTTCAAACATGAGAGGTCTATATTTGACCGTTTCCACGCTTTGAGTTAACTGTGCAACATTTGAGGAGAGTAGCAGTTCGATACGTGATAGTGAGTGGCAAGAGAATATCCCACTACGTAAACCATGAACTACGAGTAATACTAATGAGTAGTCTTGCTGATACCTTTTCTCCCAATTCCCAAATGGACATAGGCATCTGCTTGTTATCTTGTCAATGTTAAGTTAACTTGAAAAACATTAATCGAAAACAAATGACTTTTTCTTTGTTAATTAAAAAATCCACAAAACTTTGTATATATAAAATCTCATTCGGCTTACCTCTCGTAAACTTCTTTAAGCTTATGTTTGAATTTCGCCATTTTCTGTTTCGTCCTTTTAAGGTAATTCGTACCAAAAGTAGTTCAAGCTAATTCTCCTATCGCTCTCTAATACGAGTTCCTATTCTTTTGGCACTCTCTGAAAAGAAGTAGTGGCTGTTAACAAGTTGCACAGAGTTTTTCATGTATTCAATAACGAGTCTACTAGTCTTTTGTTTTGTACACTTTACATACTTTGTATTAGGATATTTTATTCAAAATATTTTACTTTAAAAGTATTTGGTTTCTTTTCTTCTATTACCAGTTGTATTTCTGATCATCATTTATTATGGAAAAACACAGCAGTCGATCGTTTTGATTAGGTCGTAATTATTTATGATGTGACCTTAAACTTTTTATCAAATACTTTCTTTGTTGCAATGAGTATATGTATGAAAATGGTGCTGGCTTCAAGAAATCTTAGAATGTGAATGAAACTATATATGTATCTGCATGCGTGTAACCTTTTTGCAGTAACAAATGAAATAAAGAACAAGTGTATATTAACTAGTTAATTGTCAGATATAATCACAGCACAAGGACAATTAAATAGATAAAAGAATAAGAAAAAAGCACGGACTCAATTTAACCATGTTTATATGGAGTAATCTTTACTTGTTTAGAATTAATTGAGAGGTTTTTTTCTGATCATTAATAAAGGGATGTCGCGTAAAATAGATCGTATGTCTCCAGGTGATCTAAACTTTATCCTGCTCATCGTTTATTGATGATAGTGGTGTCAAAAATAGAAAATTCTAGCTGAGAGATGAAAACGAGAACGTCGCTGGAGATATTTCGTGTAAGATAATTATTTTAAATGTAAGATAAAGTGTGTTATGTTACACGATCTATCAAGATTTAACTTACATATTGGTACTACTATACATTTCAAAATAGTCTACTGGTTTTTTAATAACTTTTGATAGAAAGGAAGTGAAGACCTGCGGTTCACAGTTTTGAAAAGAGATGTTGCGGCTATCCGTTTATGAAATAAGTAAAAGAAAATGACTACCTGCAGGTGATAGACCTGATCAAGACATTTTGAGAAAGACTCCCTCCACTAAAGAAGTTTCGGATGTTGAATGACAATGAATAGGTTCAAACCATCAGACACTACTGCACAAAACTATCCAAGTCCTAGATTTCCATCTATCAGCGTTCGAGAATACTAAGCATTTTCCTGAGACCATCGGAAGTCCCATTTTTTACATTGGGAAATCTCGAAATTAAGTGAAAACACACATTTTTAACTTTCCTGAACAACTCAGCAATGTTTTTAGAGCTCTATCAAAACTTCTAGTTATTGAAATCACCATCAAGGATATTCTCGTTTTTTGTCATAAACGATGGTAATATTAATCAAAATCCTCTTCCTCTCATCGTCCGTTTCATCATCTAGCTTTGGTTCAATATCATTTTCAACATAATGATCTGTTTGTTTAAATGTTTCTTCGGCTTTTTGGGCATGTTGATGATACCCTTGATATAATTCTGGAACAACAGCAGCCATATATATTCAAGAATTAAATTGTGGATATTAGCAATTCTAAATCTTGTATTATATTCTCTAACATAATGTTTTAAACCCTCCCAAGCTGACTTGATCAGGTTAGACGGATGGGGACCTTCCTCAAAATGTCTTGATCATGTCTATCACCTGCAGGTAGTCATTTTCTTTTTCTTATTCCATAAACGGATAGCCGCAATATTTCTCTTTCCAAAACTGTAAACCGCATGTCTTCAGCTCTTTTCTATCAAAAGTTATTAAAAAACCAATAGACTGCATATAATTCTGAAATGGATAGTAGTCGCTGCACACTAAACCATTCTGAATCATGTAGACAATACTATTATGATGTCTCATTTGTAATATGGTTATAATTATTATTTACTGAAAATATTTTGTTAAAATTGATTAAAAAAAGCTTAAAAATCATGATGTGTCAGTCACCTAACCTTTACATTTAGATTCGATATATCAACATGTGTAGATATAGATTAAATTGTAATTTTGGGTCGTTTTATTGAATAATTTCCAACTAAATTTATTTTTGTTTACATTTGATCTTGTATCATCAATAACGAAGAGCAAAAAAGAAAGAGAGAGAAGAGATAAACGAAGAGTTCATCTCTTTTTTTCCTTTTTGATTGATTGTGATTACTTTAATATGTTGTTTAAAGAGATATCTCCCATACTACAAGTATCTCTCGTTTGGTTTCCGTTTTATATTGTTAACGAGAAAAACTAATCATTTTTATCTGACGTTCAACCTTGACTGATTTACTAATTGAAACTGACGTGTGTTTGTCATTGGCACGGTATAGAAAATCAAAGTTAACAATTGTTTTATATAAACAAGTACATTCAGTCTGATTTAGATAATTTTTGGATAAGCATATATAGTCCTATTCGATGAGTAAAAATAAAATTGTAATATTTTACTTTAATGCTCTTATATTTATTATATTATTAATATCATTTAGAGACTTTTACTAAGTGGTAAAAAGTATTATTTTTACGTTGTATCATCTATTCAATTCTCATATTCAAACTGTTTCTAGCTATTTATCGTTTTGTTTCTCGGTTTAGTGTGTTCGTGCATCGAAAAGTCCGGATGCATCTGATTTATCTTCAACAGTAAATACGAATGAAAACATACATATTACCAATGTTCATATTGATTGCTCATCATCACCCTCTTCAACATCTACAAATTCAGTTCAACAACATCTGTGCAATCGACCATGTCTCATGTTACCATCATTATCAGAATACTCAACAGCTTCATTCAATTCATTAATACAAACTCAACAAAGCACAGCCACATTAACACCAATGAACAGTTATTATCAAACATCGAAAGGTAAGTCAATTTACTGTAACAGATCCGTACTTTGATAAAAAATAGAGCAGTTCAAGAATCTCAGAATATACAGCGTTAGACTACTTTAAATTTTATTTATAAGAAATCCACAAAAAAGAATTTAGGAAAATTCTGTAGTTTTTGGAAAGGATTTCTAGAAAATCAGTGGACAGACATTGTTTTTCGAATCTTTCGATCACATAATCACATCTAGTGGACAAAATTAACAATATCCTAAGGTTTCCAACTAGTTCTAATGGGTTTTGAGTGAGCTATGAGTGTTTTAATGCTAGGCTATATGAAAATAGCCTGAAAACCAAGGGGGAAAAAACGTTTTGGAATGGTATAGAATGGTACGGAATGGATTGGAATGCGCAATTCCATACCATTCCAAAATGATCAAAAATGTTTGGAATGGTGCGGAATGGCCTGAAATGGCCCATTCCGCCTTTTCCCCCTTGCTGAAAACTGTAGTTTTCGTAAAACTTAGTTTTCATCAAATTTTCTGGTTCTTTTCCGGAAACAGATATTGTCATGGGCCATAGCATGATCGATTATCTACAATTCCTCCGTTTCCGAGGTTACCAGTAGGCAGTGGATACCATTCCTAGGATTCCAAGAAAATCCATTACCAGGGTCGAACAACTAAGAATCAAGGTGTCGGTTGGCTCCCCCCTTCGAAGAGCACACTTTGGGCTATCAATCCATGAAAAATTTCAGCTTATGTAAACATGTTCTCCAGTTTCCTCTTTCAAATAGCGAAAAAAATGGCTACATCTGTTTTATTTTTAAAGAGACAGTACATATATAAACTCATTTTACATCTATCTGTTTAAAACTTTTCAAAACTAGTTCTGAATATGATAATGATATTGGTATCTTCAAAACATGAATAAGATTTTAACGACGTTTTCTGAAGATCTCATTCAAAATCTAGGCTTTTTAACATTACCGTATAATAGACAACATCAAGGTCACGCAAGTTCTGGAGTTTTTCGTTAGCTAACTGACTATATAACACAGAACTCAAAAGTATTTTATACAATAGGTTAAATTAAGTTATTGTTCTTTAACAAACTCCGCAAAGAAGTTTCTTAATACATTATGATAAATCACAACCGAGAATACAGTAGTTTTTGTGTATGAAGTAAACTACGATATGTAATTACATGATCAGACGGGATACTGAGAAGAGCGAAAAGCAGATTTGATCAGCAATCTATTTTAGCGTTTCTCATGAAATGTCTTGTAAACAGTACAAATTTTTTGATGATCGCTTGAAAACAGTAAAAGATGCGCAGAATTTATATGATGCATCATTCTTAGGGTCTACTTTGGTCTCTACGCTATTCTGATACTTGTTTAGATCGAAAAACAAGCAAAAGATAAATTAGTACGAGTATAAGATCGTTTTTGTCCGTTTTTGTTTATGGATAGTGTCGTCACGACCTTCTGTAATCGTTTGTAAGTAAATGTTTAGCTAGTCAAACTTTCTATGACACTTATGCAGCAAAATCTTATCCATGTCAAAGTTTATTTATAAATCACTTCAAAAATTTCTTTAAAATCGAATAAATTATATATGCACTGAAGCATCTTACAAAAAAACAAGCGTTTTACGTTCTTGTTTTAGTAGGTTTCAAGAAAAAGAAGAAAAAACTCGTCGTTGTGTGCAGTTTGTAATGTGTTTGTTTTTTTGTTGTATGTGTAACCTAATACTTTCAAGTATTGACACTCGAAGTTTGTTTCGTATGTGTCTAAAATAGCATATATAATGTACAGCTTTGGGTTCTTCTTCAAAAGTAAAAAGAATGTCATGCAATAGAAATTACGAATAAAAAACTACGATGTTTGTAAAATATAAAAGATTTTTTGAATTAAGGTGACTATTTATTCACGTCATAGCATCCATCATTATTATTGTGATGTTTCTAGTTGTAATTTATTAACTAAGTCATTCACTTCTTGTTTTTTTTCTTTTATATTTGATCTCTTAATTAAATTGCCTTTTTTGACGATTAAGTAAAATTGTCAATTATGAGATGATTATTGTACAGATATCGATATAAATATTAAAATTATTTTTCTGTTTTTAATTTTTATAAATCTTTCACAATAACTAGCATTATGTTTGTTTGTTTTTAGTAAGGAAAAAATTGATAGCATGTTATGTTAAAAAAATGAAGGTAAGACATAGAATAGTATAAAATTCTAAACTTTTTGTTATTTAAATTCTTTAATGAGACTAGACATTTGTCGGTTTACTTTTTCATTGTTCAAGACTGTAATTTATTTATTTTTTTGTATATTTCACGTATAAAGCCGCATGTCAAATTCAAGTAATTTGTAATCAATAGAATGTTTATCTAGTGAACAATGTATCACTAATCTAGGTTTAACGAATTTGATATAAGAGATATTCCATCATTTGACATTAATCCACAATCTATTCTTTTCTTTTTTTCTTTATGCCAATAAATTAGTTTATTTATTAGAGTTGAAACTGAGAAAGTAGAAGAACTATTGTTATATTTTAGCATATTTTTATATTACATCGATAAGAGAACAGGTACACAAAAGGAATAAGAAAAATAAAAAGTATCATCTCAAATAAATATATTGATGATATTATTTTTATTTTAAAACTATTAGTCATTACATAAAAAGTGATTATGATTTTTTTAACTTTTATCCTATGTTTACTAGCTGTAACGCTAAAAGTGTTGGCATAGTAAACAGAAGACCATGTGTTCGAATCTCTTCTCTTCACATTGATTGAATCGCTATGATTATAAATTATACTGACCTTTTGTTTCATTGTCGGCGTCCGAATAGGACAGAACCCTCCGCATTGAACTTAAGAGAAAAGATGTTATAAGCCATATTGGCAGTATGAGTGATTCAACAATCGTTTTTAAAAATTATAATATATATTATAAAAACTATTTTTAAACTATTAAAAAGATATCATAAAAATCTTAAGAATTCATATTTTACTCATTCAGTTTATTTTGATTAACTATAAATCAGACACCTTAATTAATAATTATTAGATAACAATTCTTCTTCTCATCTATAGTATAGATATTAGATACGGAAGAATAGATATATCTCAAATAAATCTTATCTAAGTGAACATTTTAGGAATAATTTATTTATACATAAATAGGTACTAGACATCATATATTAGTGTAAAATAAAAATTATATATATGACATTTATATAGATGATACTTGTCAGACAGATTAATTGAACAACATCACTATTCTCATTTTTTTTTTCAAACACAAATTATTTATTCTGTTACAGTTAATTTTTTTTTTTGTTGTTGTTGTTGTTGTTTTTTATTATGAGGGAAAGAATAATCTTGTATCCGCATAATATATGTGTAAGTAAATAAATAAATAAATTTCTCTTTTTGTCATTTGTCTTTTGATAGATATTTCAAATGTAAAACAATCTATCGTCCGTATTACTCAAAAGAAAAACAGAAAAAAAAAAAGCAATTGAGAATTTGTACCTTCTTCTTTCGATTCGAAACGTAATATGTTATTGCAGACACTTGTTAGTTGATAAAAGAAGAAGAGAAGAAAAAAAAGAGTAAAGGCACTCATCTGTAGTATGTAATCACATTTACATATGGACGATAATAATGTATGTATGTGTGTGTATATGGGTATAACGATTGATCGAAAGAAAGGCCCGTCGTTATTATTACTTTTCTAACATATAGAAAGATAGAGAATGAAAAATACAGTTTTTACTTGAATATAGAATTTCTACCTCTTTTGTTCAATCATAAAAGTTGAATTCCTACTTGTACTATTAAAAATGTCTACGTACAAAAGTTATTACGTATCTATAGCTTAATTAAAAATTTGTTCTTTTTTTGTTAATCTAAAATAGAAAATATTTTATGAGAAAAAAAATAGTTGAAATTTGTACATGTTTTTACATAGTATAAACATGTAGTTGAAAAACCGAATGGAATTTTAACAATATTATTACATGATATCAAATATACTAAAAATACAAAACATTTGCACTCTAGAACACTGAAAGTTCATTTAGTAAACGATTAACTAGTAATGCTTGAAGCACACATAAAATGTTAACGTTTAATATACAAGTATAGAGAGAAAAATGGAATCTTAAATAGAACTTGGAATTAAATCGTGTAGACTATAAACAAGAAATCTAGTTAGATCATCTTGTATTAGAAATAGATATTAGTTTAGATAAAATAAAAAATCTTCTCGTTAAGATAATTATTTTCTATATAGGGAAAAATAATTGATATAGCAGCAAATTTGAACATTTTTCATTTATTTAAATCATAACAGTGTAACGACCCATAACTCATTTTTTTACTTTTTGTTTTCATATCTGATGTCAATCAAGGACATGTACCAATTATGATGATTTTTCCTCTTTCACATATAATCACATGTTTTTTCTCATGTCATAAAACATATGAGCTAATATTTGTTAATTCATTTCTCTCTCGTTTACTCTTGATTATGATTGTTATTATTATTATTATTATTATTATAGATCAATTTTGATTACATTTCAATTATGTTCTTTTCTTTCTTTTGCACGATTTTGAATGGAAAATGCAAAAATCCATAGTCATCTCTAAAATTGTGTCATTTATATCCGTGAAAAGATGGATGAGTCAAAATTTTATTATCGATATTAAAAAATAGAGTTACAACAACTTTGTTAGAAGAAAAATAGAGATTTCCTTCTCGTTCCTATATTTTTCTATTATTCGTACAACAAAAAAAAAACAAAAAAAAAAGAATGTAGAAATACTTGCCGTAGACTTCTACCACTTAGAAATATATAAAGAAACAAAAGGGTGAGAGAAAGAAGAAGAAAAAAAAATGAAAATAGAGCAAATAAAAGTGAAAGAGAATATATAATCGCCGATTTATTGTGGTATTTTTGTTTTTATCTGTTCTTGTACATATGAATAGTCTACAGATGATTATGATCAAATGTAACACTACTCAAGTATTAGTTTAAAATGATTTTCTAAAAACTATTTTGCGATACAGTGATTGACAATGCCATTTTTACCGTTTAAAAAATGGTCATCCAATACTCATTTAAATCAACCAACATTAAACAAATGGACATTAGATGATTTTGAAGATTTTAGACGAAATTCCATGCCGCCTCCCATTGCTGAAGAAGGTATTATTGTTTTAATTTAAAAAAAAAAAAATGAATATAAGTTATAGAAGAAATAAAAAGAATAGAATATAAAATAATGATTTTTTCTGCAATTTTTGTATACTAGCGATATTGTGATACCATTGTTCCCATACAGTTTCTCGTTAATATTCTAAGCAGTTAGGATAACAATTTTCGTTAATTAGATAAAAATATGTCGACTATTCTTGAACTATCAGTCCGATTATATAACTTTGAATTGTCAGAAATCTCCAACATAGCTTGTTTAGAATAATAAACTATATTTGTAAAAATTTGACTAAGAGGTTTAGAACAAAATCTATTTAAGTAGTCAGAACAATGAATGATCTACAAAATCTATTAGTATTATGATTCATCGTATTATATTCTGAGATCAATGTATGTAAGAGAGATAACAAATTTTCTTTTTATAGAAAAATATATTGTGTCATAGAAAATATATCGTTCGAGTTTGATAAAAAAAAGTCATTAGTTTTTCTTTTAAAAATTGAATTTAAATTTCATTTATCTCTATTCTCTGATTCTTCATTTATTATCTTGATCAAAAATGACTCTGTCAAGTTTCAATTTTTCTCTAAAAAAAACCAAAATACTTCTTAGCTCTCGTTTTTTTCTCATTACTCTACTTCTCCATTAATAAAAAGATACTTTTTTTCATATATTTTATGCAGTCTCATCGTCGTTTATTTAGCACGGTCTTACGGTTTCCTAAAACTCCGTATAATGTTATTTTTACATAACTGAATGACTAAATACGTTTGTAATGGGTGGATGAACGTTTTTCTTCACTGTTTGAACTCATTAATTTCTTTTTTCTTCGTGTTAAAGGACATGTCTTATGATATAAACAAAAAAAAAAAAGATTGTTTGTTTACTAATATGAGAATGACTTGTGTTCTTAACGTATTGTACGCCCTATTGATTAAGTTCAACAAAGTTGGCTAATTAAATGAACTGAAAAAATGATCTGATATCTCTTTTTTATACCACGCCCATGAACCCATTTTTCACATGACCTCATTCGAATACGTTTTCATTGACATACCTTGCTTCGTTTTATGCTTTGATTTAGCAAAAAAATCGTTTTTCGATACAAATTATCTAACGGGTGTGTCATAAAGAATGGGTATTTTGTATTTCCTCTATAACTCCGTCAGTTTTGATCGAATCAAAGTAATTTGTTTTTAAAAAAGATTCATCATTCAATTCTCTAGCAAACCATAAAAAGATTTTCGTTCTAAACTCAAAATTTTAATTAACATTTAATTTTAATATGATTTTTTAATGGACAATGGTATCTTTCTTTGTCTATTAATTCTATCATCTCAAAATTTATTTTGTCTCCATCAATATTCTTGAATTTTTACATATTTTTATGTGTATGACCACAAATTAAAATTATAAATGTCATTCAGTTCTATTTCCTTTTAAGTGTCTATGTTTTTCTAAAATAAATTCCATTTGCGTTTTTTGTCTAAAAATAGAAATTTATTTTGCGTAGACCTTTTTTTTACACAGATGACGATGGTATTCGAATGATAATGCCATCATCTTATACAATATTTCTTGTGTATAGAGAATAATAAAGGAAAGAAAAAACTAAAAAGTACAAAAATATTTAAGTAACATTTTCTGTATGCGTAACAATAATAACTTTAGATTGTTTTCTTTAATCAAGTTTTCGTATATATGCATGTAATAAGATATGTCATATTTACACACATTAATCGTTCATATTCTAAGATATCGAGTTTCTCTCGCTATTCTATTTATTACAAACAGAAATTAATCACTAACATGTTTTGTATAATGTGACAAATTATAAGAGTTTTTGATAGAATTAATAGATTTGATTTTCAATGATCAATTACCAATATCATTTAAGGATGAAAATTTTAAGAATTAGTTTTTTGTTTTGAGTAGGAATCATTTATTTCTCTTTTTCTCTCGTCGTGCATAATAATTGTTCAACATTGTTATTCAATATTCGTCCTGTTCATAAAAGAATAGAATAACAACAAAGAAAAAGCGTTTCTATGCATAAAAAATGAAGAAATGATTAAATAGCAATAAACTTGGAGAAAAAAAAAGGTCGAATGGTGGATTTACTAGTAGTTACTAATTTTACTCAGCAGAATGAATATTGTGGCCTAGTTTAAAGTATATTCGTCATCTTATTGAACTTTTTCATCAATATTCAACGAATTCTTTTTATTATATGTAGACACAATGATAATAAATTATTCAAAACAAGATGATATTTTCAGTGTTACAGCAACCATTTTTCATTGTCAATTGAAAGTATTAATCTATTTGATAAAATCTATCACAGAAATCATTCATATAAATATGAAATACTTTTTTTAGACTATTGGAATTTTTAATCAAAAAATTACGAGACGAAATTTCTCTATTCGATATTTTTTTTTTTTAATTATTTGTCACTTCTTTTTGACTTGAACGTTTGTTGACTAAGTTTAAAAAAAATAGATATTTTCTACGGTCTTACACATGCAATGTTCGTTCATGATTACATGACTGTTTAATCAAATCGTGTTGAAGTCAGTATGTTCATAATCATTCGATATTTATTGATTGATATCTTCATGTTTGTGTTTGTATGCACGACCTTTAGAGAAACAAATTTTTTAGCGTTTATAAAACAATTCTTTTTTTCATCATACATACACGCAAGCTATATTATTCGTCGGTCTATTGTCTTTTTGATTCTATTTTCTTGGCGTATGGTAGTCTATTGAGAGAAAAAAATGGTGTAGATTTAGTGTGAATTTTTTTTATATATTGAAGAATATCTGACATTTCTGATCAAAAATACAATTATTATATTTGCAGTTTGACGATTGATCAAAAAAAAGAAATGATTATTTCTGTTCATTGATTAATAATGTTGAAAAATTATTAATGTTATGATCTGTAGTTGATTGTTAAGTGTTAGTTAATTTTTTTATTTCTTTTTAATAATTGAAACAAAAAGGCAAAGAAAATATGTTATAAAATCATATCTTACATAACATCGAAATTAAATGTTACATTTGTGTGTACAACAAATATAAATCATGATCATAATCATAGTCCTCTAATAGGAAAAACGAACGTTTTCTAATAGTAACAGTTAAATTTTTTCAGTCTATTCTAACGAATGATGCAAAAATTCTGTATTAGTTTTGTTTTTGATATAGCATTGCGATGGAATGTCGTAGAGACTTCATCCTTTTTTTTATATAGAAAAAGCAAGTGTCTAGTACAGAAATATGTATAAAAGTATTTGATCAGAAATGTTTCCTGAAGATCACAAAAATCTTAGAACAAAAGGCATCGGAAAACTGTTCTATAACCTTTTTGAATTTAGAAAAAACTCCACCAAATGAGAAAGATTATCTTTTTTATTCGTTTTATTCCAAGTTTTATAATGTAAGAATAGGACACTATTGTCGCACAAAAAAGAAATTTTCTTCGTGTTTTATAATGGTCGAAATGAGCGCTTTTAATAACATCCTATGTTACTACCGATTTTTCATCACTGTCGATCGTAGTCCAAAACAGAAATTCTACTCCGAGAGAAAAATCGCCAGAAACCATATATTTTATATGAAAAAGAAAGCTTATTGAGTCCTGTACCAAACGATATTAGAACAGAATTTGGAATAGAACACAATTGCTCTGTGAGATATTAGGACAAAAACTTGTTTTCCCGTTCTAAACGTCAAATTGAGTTTTTAATCAAACGATCTTCTGTTCAGTCTCTTATACTCAAGGTCAACTTTTTTAATATCATACGAAAGCCTTTGTTGTAATGAACAACGTCATATATATGGTGCTCGAAAACATCGAAAGTGGGGGAAAAACAATAATATTATTATGGTTTAAACAAGTGGTTTGTTCGTTTAATCATATCAAAAGGGAAAAAATATAATATATCAGTTTTTTAGTTTAACAAGTCATGCAACTATGGTATAAAGCATAGATCCAAGAAAAGAAAAAACAATATATAGTACTGAAACGATGCCAAGCACTTTTTTCCATTTGGCCTTTTTTCACCACATTTAACAGAGCAGTGTATTAAAAGTTCGTGTTTTACTGACTGAATTGTTTTAGATTCTTCGCCTGATCATCTATCATCTATTGGCACATTATCGACAGAAATTTCGTCATCATCAAAATATGTTCCGTCATCTACATCTGTAGTTCAAACACCGACAACTACAAATCGTCAAACAAAAACAAAATTATCCTATTTATTTGGCCGAACAAAACCAAAAGAGATTCTAACGCCAAATGGTGGTCATCCATCGGAATCATTAAAACGAACAAAAAGTGTAACAAAACTTGAAAGACAAAAACGATATTTAAGTGGAGCAAAAATTCTTAATTCACCAACATCATAGTAAATAAAACATGTGATTTATCACATAAAAGAATATGGTTAATCTATAAAATTGTTCTAAAAGAATATTTCTTATTCTAGTTTGCCAATAACAAATCGTTCACGTTCACATGAATCGTTGTTTGCATCATCGTCATCTTCTCATCAAATAATGTTAAAAGATTGTCATATTCGAACTCTTCATCCATCTGTTTTGGACAATAATTTTTGTTTACAAATAACAACACCACAAAGTAAACAATATCTAAAATGTAAAACTCAAGCTGATTGTCAAAAATGGATACACGCGTATGTTATGTGATATTATGTCATATTTCATTTTATCTTTACTTTATTCTATTTAATTTTTAGTCTACGAGAGACATGCGATCCAAATCTGAATACAACACAACGAACAGATAATTCATTAGATATATGGATATTAGAAGCAAAGGGACTACCATCAAAACGAAAGTGAGTGAATTTATAAATATAATAATTCAGTAGCAAGGATTATTCGTTTTTGATTTTAGATACTATTGTAAAATATTTCTTGATGATGATATTTATGGAAAAACAACAGCGAAAGAACGACGAGATATTCTATTTTGGGGCGAAAGTTTTACATTCAAAGATTTACCAGAAGGTATATGATTATTATCTCTTTTTCATTTTTTTTGACGGGTGTTCATAACATTCTAATTCGTTTGATCCGATTCAGGTTGTACAGTTTTACGTTGTAAAATTTGTCGAGAATTAGAAAGGCGAAAAAAACGAGATAATGAAATTGGTTACGTTGATATTCCGTTGGCAACAATAACTGGAAATCAATTTGTTGAACAATGGTATCCTGTTTATACAATATCGTCAAATTCAAAAGAAAAAACACGTGATACTACGTTTAATATTCGAATTAAAGCCAAATATCAAGCGATCGATATTTTACCGTTAGATAAATATCAACAATTACAACAAGTAAGAGATACACTTTTAAAATTTGATATTCTTTTATTAACCCTTTCAGGACAAGATTATTTTTTCAGAAAATAATCCCGCAAAAGTAGAGACACCTCGGCAACTCAAGAACCATGATAGCTAGGGGCTTCTAATTTTGTGTAGTAATAGCTCTTACCAAATGCTGAGCGTCCACCAGCTGTGGACCTCTTTTATTGAATGGTTCGTGAGATATAAGCGATTTATTTCTTTTCCGTAAAGTATCAATAGCTCCTGCCCTCAAAGAGATTAAAACTTTTTCTTTTTACAAAAATGTAGCCACGACTCTAATCTATTGACGAAATGAATTTTATGAGTTGGCTGTTAGCAGTCAGTGAAATACAGCTATTTTACGGGCGAGGATCGCTTTTTTTTTGTTGAAAATTCGAAATTCCCTGCGAAAAAAAGTCATATTTCCGTCTAGGAGTATTACTTCGACGTCAAATTGGCACTAAAGACTCTACAGTGTTTGTAAACTATCTAGCCAAAGTATGAAGGTTAACTATTGTATGGTTCTGGAGATTCAATGAGGACAAGCACCCACGATTGCAACATACGTGGAAGGACGAGGGTGATGATCTAAGGGTAGTTCTTTCTACTATAGAATTTGCATTCAATGTACATCATAATCATGGAAACCTATGGTTTCGAAAAACGTAGGTGAAACTTTTGTCAGAAAGATTACACACTCATCTCTAACTTAGAACAAAATTTTCAATGAAATTTTTTCGTTCGAAAATCGAGTGTTAAGTATGCTGTTCGGCCGAGTTTTGTCTGCTGATCTCAAATATGTTATTAGTTTTGCTTGAAAATGTAGGGGTAGTGAAAAGGGCGCAAAATAAGTGAAATAGCGAAGGTCAGAGGTCAGTGCCCACTATAGTGGCCACCCGTCCTAAAAGGGTTAATGAGATAATTTTTATCCTATTGATTGTTACATGGTAAAGAGATAGTTAGTTTTATAGAAATGAGTAGTTATCTTAAAGACGATCATACGCAGCTTTATAACAAGTACGATTTATTTTATTTCTAGTATATTGAACGTGACTATCTTCGGTTGATTCGTATATTAGAACCGCATATATCATTACGTGATAAAGATGAATTAGGTATGAATTATTATCTTTATTCCATAATTGTTAATCTTTTCTTGTTTTTCTTTTTTAAAGCAACATCGCTAACTCGTATAGCTCAATATTTATCATTTTCAACATCTTTTCTTGTTGATATTGTTAAAGCAGAAATTCAAAGTACACCTGATTTGACATTAACATTTCGTGGTAATTCAATTGCAACAAAAGCAATGGAAGCCTATATGAAATTAATTGGTGAAACATATCTAAAAGATACTTTAACTAAATTTGTTATTGATATTGTTATTAATAATTCAACGGAACACGAACTCGAAGTTGATCCTGGACGAGTATCAAATACACAACATTTAGAAAGAAATCAAATTGGTTTGAGAACATTATGTGAAAAAGTATGGTTAGGAATTCAACAATCACATACAACATTTCCAAAGTAGGTCAAATTAAATGAAAAATCTATTGTATTCTTAAATTTCATCTCATTATGACGAAGATTTTTTGTAAAGGAGACTGTTAAATTATGTGATAATTTGTATTTTAAAATGTAAATTATCTTTTTTAGTGAATTAAAACGTATATTTTGGGCGTTACGTCAATGGCATTACAGTCAATCATCTTCAGATGAAACAATGTTTAATTTAATTAGTGGATCAGTATTTTTGAGATTTTTATGTCCTGCCATATTATCTCCAAATTTATTTGGTCTTACACAAGGTAAACTCATAAAACATAAAACATTTTTTTATTCTTATTAATCTTTTGCTAACATTATAGAATATCCAAGTGAAAAATCATCGAGAAAATTAACATTGATTGCAAAAACTCTGCAAACATTAGCAAATTTTTCACGGTAAGTAATTGTTAGTTTAACTAAACTATTAAATGTGTATATTTATTTAAAATTTAGATTTGGAAATAAAGAATCTTATATGAAGTTTATGAATGATTTTGTTGGCAAAGAATCTGACAATATGAGACGATTTTTGGCTAATATATCGGTGAGTTTAACTATCTAATACTATTTTTTTAACATTATAAAATAGTCAATAGTTTAACACATAAATTGGTTAAAAATTATTATTTTCTTTTAGACAGTTAATCATGACTATGAAACATATCGTTATTTACAGCAGCGAGAAAAAAATGAATTGAATAAATGTGACATTGATCTAGGTAAATGATTCTTTGAGAGTATCATAATTATTATAGTAAACTGTCGTCCCATCGTTTGATAAAAAATATTTTAGAGAGTAGTTTTATACTTTTAATTTAATTTAATTTAATTGTTTTAGGACGTGAATATTCTATTCTACATGGAACATTGGCTGAATTATTTAAGCAAATTGATTCTCAAATTCGAGATAATTTATTAGAATTAAATGATATCCTAAATGAAATATCAGATACGAAAATGTTGTATTTGAACACAAAAGGCACTCCACTTTCAAATGTGCATTATCATCACCATCACCATCATCATATCTACCTTAATTCTCCTTCGCCGTCAATTACTCCATACACTAAATCCTATTATACACCTGATCATAGTCCAACTTTATCTAGTACTACATGTTACTCACCGATAATAAAAGATCATTCTATAATGGCACAATCAAAACAAGCGTCTGTACCGTATTCACTATGTAATCATCAAAATCAATCATTAATGGACAGTAATAATCGTCTAACTGCTGATTATTCAACAATTTCTTCATCTTCGTCTCATTCGACGTCATCATCCACAAATTGGAATACAGAAAATCAAAAACATTCAATACATTTTCATCATCATCATCATTCACCAAATGTAACAGGTAAAAAACTTTTAAATTTATATTTTATTTTAGTTCTTAATAGGATTAACGCCTTATTTGTTGTTGTACGGAAAAATAAACATTAATCTATTTAAACTATTATAGAATAGAAGTCACTGCTTTGACAAATGGAAAAGATAGAAGTTTAGTATTTTATTTTGTTCTAGCGGAAAATTTTTTAATTTAGCGGAAAAACCACTTAACAATCTGCCACTTAAACAGCCTTGCATTCAGTTAAACAGTGACGGCTATGAAGAATCAATATCATCATCTCATCGTTCTGTATATGGCAGTCAAATTTCTCTTAGTCAATTATCATCGTCTCTCGCCCCCACATCTGGCTATCATTCTTATTCAAATTCACAATCAAATTCACCTATTGATGCAGGCAGTACAAATATTAATCAAAACAAAGAAAATGTAATTAATGGATCAATTGGAGTTAATAATAAGCAACAGTTACAGCAGCAGCAGCCTTTTCCTCTAGCATTCAAAAATCCTGTGTTCAAATTTAGTTCATGTAATCATCGTTTAAAAAAGCCTACAATTATTTGTTCAGAAAAGCAACTTATTGATTTCAATCTGAATCAAGAACAAAATGAGAGTGAAGATAGTAATAATATATCAGATATTGATGAAAATGACGACGAACAAAGACAACAAGAAAATATACAGTATTCAAACAATGAACAGTCATTGGAACAGAATTTAAGTGAGTAGACTGAAGTAATTCAATGAACATTGAGCGTAATACTTTTACTTATGTCAGTTAGAAAAAGAAATATAATTCTTATACTCACTTTTCATTACTTTATAATATTAAGAGATTATTTATTTATTTTTTATTCTAGTTAATAATTCACCCATCCATCATAGTTCACAATCTCATTCTACAAAAGCATTATATTTTGTCAATAGCTTATGTCCAACAAATTTGAAACAAACTACTGTTCAAAATCCGTTTCTATTAATAAATCAATCACCATCTCAAACATCATTATCGTCATTACAATGTTTTTCATCTCGACAACCGTTAAGTGGAAGTTGTCATTCATTGAATGTTGATACATCATCAAATACTATTCAACAGCCATTATTATTCGTTAATAATAGTTTTTCACCATCTACTATTATTAATCGCAGTACACAAAGTTTAAATCATCCAACATCATCTATTTCTGTCACACCTGCTTATAACTGTCAATATTTTATTCAACAAGATGAGCAGATAGAACCAATTAGAGGTACAACAAGCAATAACAACGGGAATTTTTCATTCTATTGTCTAAGAGCATCAACAACAAATGATACCAATAGACGACAATCATTACAACCACCAAAAATGGGTTTAAAAGCGCTAAACCATTTAGTTAATAAGGTAATCGAATTGTATATGCTAAGTTTCTCATTAAAGTTGAAGAAAAGAAGAAATAAAACTAGATATTTCTTTAATCATAGCGTCTTTTACCATAGTGTAACTAATTTATCAGATCTTCAAATAATATAATGTATGCATTTCAAATTTTTAATTCAAAGGAATTACCTCGTTCTCAAATGTTAAATTTATATCAAGAAGAAAAATATCGTCGACAAGAAAGTGAAAAACAACAAGAAAGGTATTGAATAAATGATGTGTTATTTGGTTATTTATCTCTTCTACTTTCTTCTAAACCTGTTAGATGAATGACCAATCAGTTATGATTGCTTAATTACTCTTTTCAAACGTAAAAATTAGTTTTCTTTGGTTTATTGATTCTATCAAAAACTAACAATATGTTTAAACATTCAAGGAAAAACAGTCGTTTGTTCTGTTATAAACTAATCTACTTGTACTGCATGATTATACTCTCTTCCTCTTTCAATTGATCAGAATAAACTGCTCTATTCTAGGCTTTGTTCGCATGAAACTGTGGTTTAAGGTTTGTAGTAATAATTATTGATACATGAGAAAATTGATAAATAAATAGATTCATTTTGTTAATCATCTGTTGTTAGTTATTAGAGAAAATGCTTCTTTTTCTTTTCTTTTATAAATATTCGCTTGCATGCAAGAGAAACTGCTTAATAATCGTGATAAGTTAACATGTCGATAAAATTCTACGTATAAATTGACCAACGATATTTCAGAGGAAAATATTTGACCAATTTTTGAATAAAAAGAGTTGGTAATGTGACGATTGCTTGTTGCTCATATCTTGTATTTGTGTAGAGCATCTGCTATATTATTCTATAATCTGCATGTAATGTACACACAGATATATGTTCTGCTTGATCACTGGCAGCTTCTTTTGCCATGCATTTATTTTTATTTCTTTTGTATCTAATTTTGTTTACTTCTGTTTGTTTCTAGACTACAAAATGAGTTAGTTCAATTTCGGCAACAAATTCATCATCTTCAACATTTAATGTATCTAATTGATGAAAATGTTACTATTGATGGTTCACTGTCTGATGGAAATGATTCTTTTTCGTCTTCTTCATCATCATTATCATATGACGCTGATGTAACAAATATTGACGATATCGAAGATGATTCTAAACCAAATTATTATTTAGAAAAAAATTATTGTTTAAATGATATTGAACAAACAGAGATGATGAACAAATGTTTCTTCTTATATCGAAGAGAAGATAATATCAATGATGATGAAGCTTAAAATTTTTTTTATTGTTATATTATTCTCATGGATTATTTTTTGCAATGCCAGATATTCATATCATTATCCTCCTTCCTCCTGATCTCATAAATACTCATTCGTTAAACATACCTAACAGAGAAGAAATTCGTCCAGAGTAACGTCGAATGATTCTTTAATTAATAGCGTATTTTCTCTTTGTATCTCTTCTTTTTTTCTTTATTACCGTTGTGTATTTTTATTTCATCGACCATTGAATCTCTCATTTTTGTTTTTCTGCTTAGTACAGAGGCACACGATCAAAATCTCATTTTGATTCTACTGATCACCAGTATAATGCAGTGTTACTATACTGTGCAAATACTCGTTTCGTTCTATTCATGTATTTTGCACGATGATAGGGAAAATACATCACTTTTTTGTGCTATTCATTTTCCAAAAGAAAACGGAATTTTTTTAGATAATATATTTGTTATTGTCCACTTAACTTTTGTATTTTTCATTGTGCATTTGTATTTCTTGTTGATTTTTTTCTTTCTTTGTTTATCACATCTTTTTTTTAATTGAAATAATATTAATAATAACAAATCAATTTGAAAACATTTATCTTGCGATTACTATGATATATTCGAAATAATTTGAGAAAAATAACTAAAAATGATATTTTGTGCTAACAGTTTTATCTTAAGCTATCAGTTTAATTGAATCAAAAATGAAAAACAACACAATAAGAAATAGATGTACAATGGATTGTCTAATAGAGATTAGAACCTGCTGATAAGGTAAAAACGTGCACTTAAAAAAAATGAAATTGCCATCTTGGTTTTACGATACATACAAATAGTTACCTTGAAAAAACAAGAGATAAGAAAACATCAAACACCAAGAGAATCTGAAAGAAACATGAATAGACCGAGAATGATTAGTAAGACTAATGGATTTCGAAATCAGTATGCAAGTATACTGTTAAGGATTAAGGCAAGAACGATTGTTTATAATCCGATAAAAAAGACAATATGAAAACACCTATGACACACTTTTAAATCAGGAAAATCTAGATGAGAAACAAAAGGACATGATCATTTATTTTATAATCAAATGATTTCATAATGACTCCAGCAAGTAAACGTGAAACGATCTCTGAGGCTCGAAATAGGTAGAAAAAGTGGAGTCCTTCACTGCGCAACAGTGATCCAACTTTAGTAGAATGTCTGCCATATACAAATTTCAATGAACTAGTTGCGACATATCTCTAAAAACTCATTTTACCAACTCAATTTTGACCAAGTGATAAAATAATATACTTCATATACTACATTAAACATCTGAGGTTGTCATTCGTTAAGTTCTTGCGCAGTTCATAACAATTACTGATTTATTCAAATGGTTCATGAGTTTGCGTTCTGAACAGTGTCAGTTTTATATTTCAAAAACATATTTTGCTGAAGATAAACAAAAGATCTTAGAAAACAAGATAAGGCTTACTCCCGTCCACTTGTTAAGTTCTACATGGATAGGTTACTGGAAGAAGTAATTTCAAGCCGCTCAGTATTAAAGGTTCTCACTCCTTGCGTACATAAATAATAGAGATTTAGATTTATAAAATTATATAATGATCGTGAATAATATTTAGTGGAATAAACAAACATCCAATACTGCTTCGATCCGATCAATGTCTAAAGTGAATAATAAAAACAAAAAGACAGTATTTGACACAGAGGTGAAATTGCATCTTTAATTAATGATTAGTATTGATCATCGACAAAAGAGCTTAATCATTACATTAGAAGCATCTTCAGACTCTGCCGCTTCTATTACACTGGATTTTTCATTACCATTCATTGCGTTAGGTCAATGTAAGCTTTTGACGATGTCTGTCATGAAATTTATCGGAAGATAAACCTTCAGTGAACCACACATGGAAGGTTCTTTGACGTCCGTTCTTTTTTCCCCATTCCACCAGTCAAAACAAGAAACAGGCCTGACGAAAGTCAAGAATGTGATTTTACTTATTAAAATTACAGTGATCGATCAAGATCTGTGGCAGAATGAAAACTATTATTTTCTCATAATGGAAACAGTTTCTATGGGAGTGACCAATCGTCATCCATCGTCCGTTCTTAAAATTTGATTAGTACAGCAATAAGGTTGTTTGGTTTCCTGCTAGCTGTTAATTTTTTTCCCGTCAAAAATGGCCGCTGTCATACATAAAAAAAAAAGGAAAAGGACAAATTTGATTGATCAATTTTTTCAAAGCTAGTTCATTTTTATTCTTTTCTTTTAAGAAATTTCTATTTTATATCTGTTATCATCGATAACATAAATAGCCTTTTTCAAAAGTCGTCAATTGACGGCTATTTTTGACGGCTTAACGGTAAACAACTTACAGCAAATTGAGTATTGATCAGCAGTGTTTCTAATGATTGGTGGTCCCGTGAGAACAAAGTGGTTTTCCACTTTGAAAATTCGATTTTCACACTGTTTTTAGCAGGGAAAACGTGGAAAATGCAGTGGTAAACTGTGGAAAATCACTTTGCTTAAAATTCTCATTAGAAACACTGTTGATCAGTGTGTCAAGTTAATATTGTGCTTGAGAATGTTACATGATAGTTTAACGTTGACGGTTAATGTTTCTAATGACAAAGTGTACGTACATTTTGTTATTATTAAATACACATTGCAAAAGAAAACAAAATAATGTACAACGTAGACTTTGGTTTGGTTCTGTGTGCACTTTGTTTTTTTCAGCGAACTGGTAACGAGTTTTTCAACTTGAGTGATACGTCATGATATAGACATAAATAGTGAACTAGACATGGGTGGGACTACTGTTTTCCAGTCCCGAAAAACAGAAATCTCCGAAAAGTCGTCAAAAACTCACCTTTTTTTCAAAAATATTTTTTTGTTCCTTCGCAGAAAAAAATTTCAGTCCTGGGGCCTGTTTCTCAAAACAACTTAAGTGCGGTCTGTTTCTCGAAAAAACTTAAGTTTTACTTAAGTGAATAATTTCACTTAAGTGAACAGGAAATTATACTTAAGTGTTTTTGAGAAACTCACTTAAGTAAAATATTTTTAAGTAAAACTTAAGTTTTTTTGAGAAACAGGCCCCTGGTTTCGTACCGATAGCAGTAAAAAAATTTTTTTATTCCCAGATTGGGTCGTGCGCGCACGTCACGCTTTGTACACAACGTGCACATGCGTCATGCGTATTTACTGTACAAAATGCATATCATGCGTACAATGCGCACTATGTACCATTTTTGAGGTTTATCATAGATGTTAGATAAACATGTTATCCAGGTCGGGCCGTACGTGCGTGTGCACGCACGTCATATAGTCTAGTCATGTAGTCTAGTCTGGACATATAGTCTAGTCTGGATTTCTAGACTATATGTCATGTCTGGTTCAAGACTAAAGCTAAAAACAAAATAGAAAAATCACAACAAAAAATATACATTGAAAGATAACATAGTCGTTGCACGACTTCAATCATTGTGCAGAATATAGGAAAGAACTGCGCACTTGATTGTTGCAGTTCGTCTGCAAAGATCAAGTTCGCGTGCTCAATCCTAGCTTCGTGCAAAGATTGATTTTATGTTTTGATAGTTTAAATTTCAGAATGATATATAATGAGAATTTATATTCTCGATTTCGTTCTGGTTCTAGACTAAAGCTTAAACCAAACTGGTTTTATTGAAATAAAATTCGTATGAGCAAGTTTCTTCAGTTTTCTATCTGCTAAATCTTCTGCACTTTCTTTCCTTTAGGGTTGGAACGATATACTTTGTATACTTTGCAAAAAGAAAACAAAATTTACACGTATACTTTGATTTGAAAAGCCAAGTGTACGTGTACACTCAGCAAAAAATCTTCATTAGAACCACTGTTGATTTTATTGTTCTGTTGCAAGCAAAAATAATCAACAACACCAAAATCCTGTTGATTTTACAAAGTAGAACTTTTCGCAATATTTTTTAATTATATCGACTGAAAGTCTCTTGCCGTTTCTGCTGCGTAATTTAAGGAACCAATGAAGTGAATGTTAGGATGACAGAACCGAAAGCTTCCTTAGAAAACAACTGAAAAAGTATGTACTAGAAGAATTTTTAAACATACGCCACATACACCAGCTTTGAGCTCATTATCCTTTAAACTCATTAAGATAATTCACATATAATCAAGGCAACTAGAGATTCTTTTTTTCCATTTTTATGCTTTGGGGTAAATAGAGACGAACGTCTGTCCCCTCTCAGAAACCGATTTTGGTATTATACCAAGTGACAAAGCTCTTTAGAATGCTGAACCTTATCGCATATGTGAAAATTAGCTCATTATTCTAGTGGATAAGCTTTCATATTGACTTCACACTACATGGAATATGAATTTGAATATATTTTATGGACTAAATTAAATTTAAAATTAATTAATTGATAAAATCTTGTGTTTATGGCTTACATAAGCATCTCTATCGAATGCAAAGACAATCATCTAAAAATTGTAAGAACTACGCAGGTTAACACCGAATTATCCGACATATGATCCGTTTTAAGGACTCATATACAACATGATATGAAGTTATGGACAGCAGATCACTCACAACGCAATGATATTACACCTTAGTATTATTCATATACAACAATAATTAAAACAAGTTTAGTATCAAGAATGAGAAATCAACTACAGAGTGTGCTAATTAATCAAAATGAATTGCGTTATTGGCAATTATGCAAAATGTACAGATGAATGGACGTTGTATACTATTTGTATACTATAGTATACAAATAGTTATATGCTTGGCCCTACTCAGTTCATCATACCTGTATAGTTCGATGAAAAATCATTCAGATTTGATAGAGCATTAAGTGATGGATATGCATTAACAAGGTAATTATACGTTATGCCAATAACGCAATTCATTTTGATTAATTAGCACACTCTGTAGTTGATTTCTCATTCTTGATACTAAACTTGTTTTAATTATTGTTGTATATGAATAATACTAAGGTGTAATCATTGCTTTGCGTGTGATGTGCTGTCCATAATGATTTCAAACAGTGTTTCTATTTATTCTATTTATCACAGTGGTAAAAAAACAACAATTAAAAATTGAATTCTTTGAGTTAAATAATAAATTTTTTTTTGTTTCTTGTTAGTACGATAAGTGTACATAGATTAACTTCTATCAAAGCCGAAACACTTCCGCTTTCAACGCTCAGAGTATTGATCCATACTTTTTTGCTATATAATATGCTTTTAATTATGATATAGAATTGTTTTCAAGCATGAAAATATATTTTTTAAAGATAGCTATTATTAACCACTCATTGATCGTAACGAGAATTGTTTGGGACTACAGATAGAGCTTTATAATTTTTTCTTCTGGACGTGACTCATTTGATCGAAAGAAACTCAAAGATTTGAAAAATTATTCACTTTTAGTATTCGTGTAAATACACATAGTTAACTTCAATACAGTCCCTTATGACTATTTGAAATTTTCTATTGGTTTTGTTCATAGTTTTACGGTTTTCTGTTGACCACGTGGATAGAGCACAAACAGTTTATCGTTATTGTTGCCTTTTTTTAGCAAAAAAAAGACTTTCTATGTTTTATATTGTTTGGCTAACAGCACCTGAATTTTGTTCCGTTCTGTTCTGTTATAAAATCTGCAGCTGACGTAATGTTCTTGTTTTACCTTTTACTTCACTCTATCTCAGTTAAAAGTCTTATGGGAGTCTTATAGAAATAGACCGGAGTGAACGAATAAAAACCATCTTTCAAAATATTCTCCAAATACGAGTAGTTATTATTATGCAAATATTGAATGCATTAATTAAAAAGAGTAATAAACTCACGTACATGTTCTTTCAAAATACAGATCAACAACAACTTTTTTTCTTTCTGTTTTTTTTTTTGCGATAAAAAGAACGTCTACTCGAAGTTAAATCAACTTTTCATTCATTTTACATCTATACTTTGCACAGCAATAAAATGTAGCCTTTAGAGAAAGTGTTGGTTTTTACAGTTTACATACAAGTTTAGAAATCGATTTTCTTCAGATATATGAAACGTTTCAGTTTGTAAGAGGAATTTTAAGGTAACCAGTGCCATGGCGTCTCCGTAAGTATATTCGAAAACATTTTTTCATTCCTCCCACCTAAAATATTATTATTCTCTTTTTAGAGATCCTTCCTCCAGTACCTGTGATTGTGGAAAAGTATTCCACGAACAAAAAATGCTCGAACATCATCAGGTAAGTTAAGAATGTTGAATATTCTTTTGGCTAATGACTAGCAAAAAAGACTTTCGTACTTCAATAGTAGCTATTTCAGAGATACTTGACACCATTTTTAAAGATGCGTGTAGTTGAGAAAAATTCAAAGTCCAATTGATATGACTAGCTTGGTTAATTAGCAATAATTTCAAAGGAATCGTACATTTAAACATTTATTTTTTAGCGTAATGATTGTAAAAAGCGTTCTGTTGAATGTTCATTTTGCGGTGCTCAAGTGACGACTTCAGATATTCGTGGTCATCTGCTGTCGTGTGGAAACAAAACTGAAGTAATATATTTTCTTATAAAGTGCAATTTTTTACAATTGAAACAGTAACGTTTTGTTTTTTTTAAGTTATGTAATCGATGTAACAGATATATTCTTCGAGCTATATTCACGTATCATTGCGAGAATAACTGTCATAATCCAGACGAAGAAAATGAAGAACCATCTCCTCCACCACCAGTTCCTGCAAGAGCTACTACTGCAACAACCCATCGACAGAACGAGATTGATAGTCCCATCGATAATCGAAAATTCGAGCGAATAGCACGTCCAACTATTTTTGACAGTGATAAGGAGAATGAATCACAAATGTCACAATCATTGAAAAATCGTATAAATGAGTCGATTCAAGAGCGAACATTTGATCGAACATTACGTTCAGATATTTTTAACGATAATGGTAGACCACAAAGTTCTCATTCATCAAGACATCATCACGATCGTGGAGGACGTTCATCAGAGTATGATACAAGAGCTATGGAATATCCAATGAATAATACAAATTTTCAAATAGATTCAAGTGGAAAAATTCTTGGCATATCATCAAATAAGCAACAACAACGAAATGACAGTAAGAAAAACTTCGACTTGATGTATGTCGTTGACGAAAAAAAAGATATTGATCAGATACCAAATCAACACATTTCTTCATTTTGTTCTAATGACACTTGCATTCCTTAACTCACTCTAGTATCAAATTGTTCTTAGCTAGACCAAACGATGGTAGAAATGACCAAGAACAAACAATCACATGTGAATTTTGTAATCAACTTTGCGCATTCGCTGATTATGAACACCACAAAGTGGGTTAATCATCGAAAATTTTGGCTGCTAAATTTACAAAAAGAGTCATATGTTTAGAAATATTGTTTACAAAACCGAAAAATAAAGATGAATGATCGAAAACGAACATACACAGATCAAGATAGGAACAATGGTAAGTAACATATCGCTTTATAAGCC